TATGTATAAAAACTCTATATGACTCTATATGAGTTTATTTTTTTTGAAATCGATATGTATCGGGTCGGTAATTGAACATGACTTGCTGTGCGGTGTAGCTTGATTACTGTTTAGGGAAGCCGCGTAAATTTGTATGGGCCCCGTGCGTGTGCGTGATCAACCCGAGCTCCCATAGATCTTTTCAGCAGTGCTGGGGATCGCAACGGACAGTGGTGTGCGCGTGCGGATAGCCCTGCAGAGGCGCGTGGTTTTCTCGCTTTGGGGTTATTGTGAATTGCAGTGCGTTCTATATAGCCTCATAAGCATTAAATTTTTATCGCTGAAAGAGATCTAGTGATAGAAATTGTAAATTATTATTTGTCAATACGAATGTTGGTTTATCTTGTCAAAAGAGGAATGCTAATGTTCAATTGATATTTAAATCCCGATATAGATGGAAGAAGAAGGCCAAGATGCGCTGGTCGACTACGACAGCGATAGCAGCTTTATCACGGTAATAGATAGAGAAGCAAAAGATAAAAACGAGGAGACAGTAAGAAAAGATAGAGGTAAGAGAGTATTTTTTGAAAATAAAGTAGTCCAGAAGAATAATATATATATGCATTCAGAGAAAATAAAAATAGTAATTTCAAAATTCCGTATAGAAGCAAAAGATAAAAAGGAGATGGAAAGAAGAGGTGCAATCCCGAAAAAGAACTTGCCTAAAGTCAGAGAGAATATAGATGTGTTGTTTTGTAATTTTATGTTAATATAGATGTGACCAAAGCATGGGAAGAGAACCGTCCAGTACTGCCAATTGGAACCAAAATATTATATGAAAAGCAAGAAAAATTGGTCGCAAAAATGGACAATTCGATGCAGATGCTGGATAAAGTAATGACGAAGGCCACCGAGATGATGGAGAATATGGTGGAAGTCTCCTGTTTAAACTTAGAGAAAGAAAAAGTTAAACTTAGACGTTTAGAGGTAAGCAATAAAGATACCCAAAGTTCAGTAGAAAACAGTAAACAAACGGTTAAAGAACTAGAGGTAGAGTCTAAAAAGAGAAAATTAAATGAAATGACAGTCTGTTCAGCCGAAAAAGATAGGAGTTTAGAGACAATAAAAAGAGTTATAGAATTGGAATTGAACAGTCAAAGGTTGCATATTAGAAGAGAATATAAGCTGACGCAAAAATCCAACTTTGATCTTTGGATGGATTATTTAAAATCTGAGTTAATGAATAACGAGTTGTTAGATGTAATAGATTCAAACATTGAAAGTCCAGAAAATCTCTCCGAACTAAAAGTTGCTAAGAGAAAAAGTCTAGTTAGAGATATAATAATCAATCATTTAGATGAAAACTATCATAAAAGGATTCTACATGAAAAAGATCCGAAAGAAATTTTGAAGAAATTGAGAGGATATAAAAAGAGTGAAGTAAACGTTACTTATGCATCGGTACGAGCTAAACTCTATCAAATTAAAATGAGAAAAGACGAAAAAGTAAGTGATTTTTGTGAACGCTTCGATTCAATAATTAGAGAATATGAATCATGTGAAGATGCGGTACCCCTCGCAGAACAAGAGATTAGATCTGCACTTTATCAGGCTGTGTCAATTAATGTACCAGAGCTGAGGAATGTAGATTTAATTAGAAGACAAACTAATCTTAAAGAAATGAACATAGATGAAATAAAGTCTTTTATGATGCAGTTAGAAGCAGAGACTAAAAACGAGAATAGAAAAAAAATTAGAGAAACTCGAAGTCAGGGTACAGAGGGCTGCTGCAGAAGAGAACATGAAACAAGTGAAGTGCTACAGATGCAACCGAATGGGTCATATGGCGAAGGACTGTCCACTAATAGAATTTGGTGCCTGGTTTTGTTACTACTGCCAGGAGATACGAGGTCACAAGGGTGATAATTGTTTGAGTGCCGAAGCCCAGGCGAACAGAGCTAGAGGAAAAAGGTATTTAAATAAAACCGTTAATAAAAACATAAAGAAAAAAAGTAGATTTGTGCAAAAAGGCACAAAAAGAGTAGATAACAAAGGGAAAATAACCAAGATACAACCAGCTGAGAAACCTATATCAACGAAAACAGCAAATGAAGGAGAATCAGACGAAGGTAAATAATACATGGTTAAATTAATAGAAGATAGAGATAGTTCAAAAAAAGTAGTGAATTTTACTGCAGATTCGGGTGTTACGGATCATATTGTGAATAAGAATTTTATTCTGTCAAAGTTTGAAAAATGTAAAGATAGAGTTATTAAATGCGCGAATAAAAATGAGCTTGCAAACATTTCAATAGATGGTAAAGGAGATCTTACACTAATAACAAATGAAAAAGAAAAGAGAGTCATTAAATTAACAAATGTAATTGCAGCAAAGAAAGTATCCAAAAATTTACTATATCTAAGAAAGTTGGTTGATGCAGGGTTCAGTATTTATTTAGATGATAAAGTGTTTAAAGTTTACAATAAACTGACAAATAAAATAGTTTTTAAAGAAATTTACAGATGTAGAGCAGAAATTGTTCCACATAGTGAGCTTCTTGAACAATCGCAAGCAAACATTCAGACTAATGGATTATCAATTTCGGAGGAAGAGTTAGATGAGAGGGATAATGTTGGCTCTGCGATTGGGAGGGAGAATGAAGGAGAGCTCACAAATGTGAGCGAAAACGAAAATATAGAACACAACAATGCTGAACTCGAGCAAGTCATTAAGTTGGAGGATATACAGACAATAGAGAATATAGAAGAAATGTGTGAAAGCTCAATAATTGAAAAAGTAAAGAAACTAGAGAGAATAAATGAGGCGATGTTATGGCATGTTAGATTAGGTCATGCATCGTTAAATTATCTAAAACAATTACAAAAAGTAGAAAAGAGATTAGAGAATGTAAAGTTTGATAACTCCATATTAGAGTGTGAAGTATGTATAATGGCAAATATGGCAAAACTGCCGTTTAAAGAAAACAGAAATAGAGCACAGAGACCACTACAGGTAATACATACGGACATCAAGGGTCCAATAAAACCTACATCCTATTCAGGACAAAAGAGGTTTATAATCACTTTTATAGATGACTATTCTAGATTAGCAAAAGCCTACTCTCTGAAGACAAAAGATGAATCGGGAGAGGCTCTAGAGAAATATCTTATATCCGCCAGAAATCTACTAGGAAAAGAAGAAAAGCTATGCTATGCAAAGTCAGATCAAGACAAGGAATTTACGGGAGGTGCTTTTAAAGAGGTATTAAAAAGAGAAAAGATAAAAGCCATATTTGCATCACCGTACACTCCAGAACACAATGAAGTTGCAGAAAGGTTCAACAGAACGTTGAAAGAGAAAGTAAGAACATATATGCTCGACTCGGGATTACTAAAGAGTATGTGGGAGTTGACAGTTGATGCTGCTGTGCATGCGTACAACAGATCTCCACATAATACTTTAGAGTACGAGATCCCGTTGAAAAAGTTTTCATCAGAAACAAGTTGTCATTTTGAACAAATAAAGAAATTCGGATGCATTGGATATGCAAGAGTACCAAAGCCTACGTCGAAATTCGACAAGACAGCTATTGGTGTGTTGGTGGGATATACTGACACTGGATATATACTATATACTCTGGTATCCAAACACGAGAAAATTTATAGAGTCATGACAACAGAGCAGCAAGAAACTGCACTAAGAAGGATAGAAGTCACAAACTTAAAATGTTTGATGACGACTTAGAGGAACTAAAGAAAAACTTAGAAGAAAAGAAGAAACTGGAAACAGAAAACATATGGATGACACTCATGGAGATTTTATCAAGCAGTGTGTTGATTAAGGGAAGGTAAAAGTCGAATGGATTAAGACCAAAGAGAATTTGGCAGACATTATGCAAAACCTTTACCTCTAGAAGCATTTGTGTATCTGAGAGATAAAATAATGAATATAGAGTTTAAACAGAGTTAGAGATTAATTTTAGTCGATAACTAATTCTTGTTATGTTTCAGATAAAGAGGAAATTTAGAGAGGACCCGTGGATCGCTTGCACAAAGGGAGGGAGTGTTGGGAGAAGACTTTGAATGAGCAATAAGTTCCCGCCTTTCTAGAGGGCAGCTCCCGGTTGGCGGCGCGACTCGGCGCGCCACGCGTGCGTGCGGGCATCAGTGGTGCTCACAAGAGCCTCGATCACCGTCGTGTTCAGACGTGTTAGTTACGGTTTAAGTTACAGAGTGTGACATACTTATATATAATAAAGACAGTATTCAGAGTGTACAAAGACCAAGACTGTTGTGTTCCCTGCTCATCTCATCACATTTCAAGTCGTCCCTGAATATATTTCCAATAGGTTATGGGCCCAGGGCACGATTCCCCTGCGTGAGGAACATAGCACGAAAGTGTATATACGAAGTGTGTGAGACGCCGGCGAAGGGCATAGAAAGAGATAGAAGCATCTAGAAGATTAGAGGGTAAGTATATAATATTCCTCGTTGCTGACGAGCAAAACGAGAGAATTCTCAGTTAATAAGAATGTTCGTTCGATAAATACTGTTACAAGGAGATAGATGTTTTTGCCATTTTTCTCGAGAAATAGAAATAGAGGTAATAATGGTAATAAGAGAATTAGAGAATAGATGTGTAAAGTGTAATAAAGAAGTAGAGAATGATGAAGGAAAAAGAGATAGAAAAATGCCGCTTGGTAGCAAGTCGACGACGTGCGCGTGCAAGTCCGATCGTGAACGGCGAGAGTCATTTCTTTTGGCGCGCGGAAGTCCGATTGTAGACGACGAGAGTCATTGTTTTTGGCGCACAGAACTTGTTGCTGGGCGCGCACAAACACATAATCGATTTCGACTAACAACATGGCATCGATGCTAGATGGCTAGATTGCGATACATGTATATGTATGTGTATGCATATGTATAAAAACTCTATATGACTCTATATGAGTTTATTTTTTTTGAAATCGATATGTATCGGGTCGGTAATTGAACATGACTTGCTGTGCGGTGTAGCTTGATTACTGTTTAGGGAAGCCGCGTAAATTTGTATGGGCCCCGTGCGTGTGCGTGATCAACCCGAGCTCCCATAGATCTTTTCAGCAGTGCTGGGGATCGCAACGGACAGTGGTGTGCGCGTGCGGATAGCCCTGCAGAGGCGCGTGGTTTTCTCGCTTTGGGGTTATTGTGAATTGCAGTGCGTTCTATATAGCCTCATAAGCATTAAATTTTTATCGCTGAAAGAGATCTAGTGATAGAAATTGTAAATTATTATTTGTCAATACGAATGTTGGTTTATCTTGTCAAAAGAGGAATGCTAATGTTCAATTGATATTTAAATCCCGATATAGATGGAAGAAGAAGGCCAAGATGCGCTGGTCGACTACGACAGCGATAGCAGCTTTATCACGGTAATAGATAGAGAAGCAAAAGATAAAAACGAGGAGACAGTAAGAAAAGATAGAGGTAAGAGAGTATTTTTTGAAAATAAAGTAGTCCAGAAGAATAATATATATATGCATTCAGAGAAAATAAAAATAGTAATTTCAAAATTCCGTATAGAAGCAAAAGATAAAAAGGAGATGGAAAGAAGAGGTGCAATCCCGAAAAAGAACTTGCCTAAAGTCAGAGAGAATATAGATGTGTTGTTTTGTAATTTTATGTTAATATAGATGTGACCAAAGCATGGGAAGAGAACCGTCCAGTACTGCCAATTGGAACCAAAATATTATATGAAAAGCAAGAAAAATTGGTCGCAAAAATGGACAATTCGATGCAGATGCTGGATAAAGTAATGACGAAGGCCACCGAGATGATGGAGAATATGGTGGAAGTCTCCTGTTTAAACTTAGAGAAAGAAAAAGTTAAACTTAGACGTTTAGAGGTAAGCAATAAAGATACCCAAAGTTCAGTAGAAAACAGTAAACAAACGGTTAAAGAACTAGAGGTAGAGTCTAAAAAGAGAAAATTAAATGAAATGACAGTCTGTTCAGCCGAAAAAGATAGGAGTTTAGAGACAATAAAAAGAGTTATAGAATTGGAATTGAACAGTCAAAGGTTGCATATTAGAAGAGAATATAAGCTGACGCAAAAATCCAACTTTGATCTTTGGATGGATTATTTAAAATCTGAGTTAATGAATAACGAGTTGTTAGATGTAATAGATTCAAACATTGAAAGTCCAGAAAATCTCTCCGAACTAAAAGTTGCTAAGAGAAAAAGTCTAGTTAGAGATATAATAATCAATCATTTAGATGAAAACTATCATAAAAGGATTCTACATGAAAAAGATCCGAAAGAAATTTTGAAGAAATTGAGAGGATATAAAAAGAGTGAAGTAAACGTTACTTATGCATCGGTACGAGCTAAACTCTATCAAATTAAAATGAGAAAAGACGAAAAAGTAAGTGATTTTT